CAAGACATCCGTGCCAAGTGGCAAACTCAAATAGTCATCTTGCCTTCTAGCACTATTCTTTATTAGCCTTTTTTCTTTATCCATCTTCGTGTTCTTTTTTATAACGTCAACAATATCTTCCGAAATTGAACAGTAAAGGACGGCATTGTTTCTTGGAAGCCTTAATAAGTGAGCCTTCACTTTTGAATACGAACCTGTAACTTTCTTGTGACAATAGTTACAAGACCATATTCTATTTCCTTCTCCGCCACTTGCTAAGTTAATAACTTTTACATGATTCCACAAAAGGTCTAAAATTTATTTTCCTTTTCCTTTGTTGAATGAAAACATTTTCAAATTGAAATGGTTTTTGTCGGTTTTTGTTTACTAAACTTTATGTAAAAACATTCATTTGAAAGATCATTTATATAAGAGAATAATACGATTAGTAATTAATTGTTTTGGGTTACATTCATTCACATTTTGGATTTAGGCATAATTAAAATAAAAGCCCATTTAAAGGTACATGCAATGTACATATAATTAACCTGCCTATGTGCTGATGTACATACAATGCACATATAATTAACATAGATGTTTTTAAAATTCACGGGTTCCAACTCTCAACAACCGCATTCAACTCACATGTTTCATTGTTCTCTTCAGTTTTCATATCCGTTCTTGCCCTTCCAACGTTATACACCTTTCGCCTTTCGAATTGTTTACACTTTCGACCAGCGAGCTTCAACCTTCTACCGCCCCGACAACTGTCAATGGTCAACGTATCTGACCTATTTTGAGCAGATCAGAGTCGAATTTCGTACCGGTACATTATCGTGTTATGTCGACACAGGTACGCCGGTGGTAGGTGCTTAGTTCGGGTAACATAGGCTACAACACCAGTGTATTACACGATGTTAATTGAAAATTTTATGCTAAAAAAATAAATGTTTTTATTTCAAATTCAAACACTTTATTTGCTTTTCTGTTAAAATTAACATTCATTATTGTAAGATTTGCTCGTCTTATTTTATAATAATTTTTCTAACTAATATTATATAATAAATTTGATAAATAAATATAATTAATAATTAATACTATAATTTTCCAATTAGGATATATTAGATTATCTATTTTTTATTTATAATTTTGGATATACATTCTTTTATACGTACGAGACGGATATAAAATCCCCCTATATATGTTGTCAAACGAATTTGTCTAACGAGTTAAATGTGTTTTTAGTGAATTTAATGGCGTCTGATTAGACTTAACGTAAGTGTTTTCGCAAAGAGTGTCTAGAAATCAAAAGGGAACGATATGCGAAAGTGATAGTATCAGTCGACCAGGTCAGTCAATATTGTTTTTAGCTCAGATGATATTAAATGTGATATTGAATGCGGGAATCAATGATTTAAATAGCGTACCGTACAACGGTACAACCATTGATACGGTACTATTACACGCAAAATACCGGATTTACGGTTATACCAATTTGTACCGGAATCATACCGTAAATACTGGTCAATAATAAAATAATAAAAAAAATTAAAATTATTAAATTAATAACATAAAATTGAAATTGGTAGTTAAAATGTGTTATTTTTATCTCATTGAGAAGTTGAAATTAATGATTATGGTCATTTATTGTTTTACTTTTTTACATTTGGTATTATATATTTTTATGTATATTTATATATATCAATATATTTGCTAGTCCGTTAATACCACCGATATTACCGGTACCGCCTACCGGTGGCTAGACCGGTATGACCACCGGTACGGTATTTAAAACACTGACGGGAATATTTGTCTCTGTGATTATCAGAATTTCAACAACCTTTTTCAAGTTTTCTCGTACGCTATTTACATTAAATGAGTATGGGGTACATTTAATGCGATGCTGGAATCTAGGCACCTAGGGTCGATAGGTTTACATTTATAAGACAGTGATGTCCTGTATGTCATCAATTGAGCACATGAGACGCTTATTTTATTACTTTTCCCCGCACTGCGCCTAGGTCGGTCCTCTCGATGCCATATGATTTCATTCGCTTTAAGGATGCCGCTGAGCTGATCCTTGGAGTTTATCTGTCGACTCAAGGTTAGTAATGAGCATGTAATCAACCTCTGTATATTATGAAATACTTAGCGCAAATTTTGCTTAATTAAAATATGTTGTATGTTCGATTTGTCTCGAGCCGACCATGAATATTGGACTTCTACCGGCGATGTGGCCTTCGAAATAACCGTTGATCGTGACTTCGTTGTTAGGATCGTGCGAAGTCGATTGAGATTCTGGACAATTCTTTAATGCACTAATGTGCCACGTGGCGTCCTTACATTAGAGGGCTATTTTTCATATATAACAAATATTCATTTTGCTCTAATTTTTACTTTTCCAAAATTTTAAGGGCATTCTTGTTGCTCTTAAAATTTTGATTCAGATTTTCAATTTNAGGGGCCAAAATCCACCAAGGAGCACAACCGGTGATGGGTCCGCTGTGGTACGACACATCTAGTCACATATCGCGCAAGGAGAATCATCGCGCGGGGGTCGCGGTGGTCAAAACGATCACTCCTTTTTCATCTCACGATGGTGAGAGGAAATTACTCATGTACCGTCCGTACGCAGTCCTTAAAAAAGAGAATCTAGATTAGGGTTGGAGCTGGGTGCTCCAAATTCATCAAGAAAGATCCTCTTCCTACCTTCCCGTCGACAAGAAGATAGAGGCATGATTGGGCGATCTTGCTAACTTCTCGGAAGAAAGATTTACCCACTTCAAGTCGGTGGTTCGTCCGCAAATCCTGGACAATTCCCTCCCCTATCATGTGATGTAGCGGCCCGGGTCCCCCTTATGAGTTGGGACCCGATGGTTGAAGCTTCCTTACGGGATTAACTGAAGTGTAATGGATCGAGCACTCTATGGCTAGCATCAGACGGATGAGGGCCAACCTTCTATTTCTGCTAAGGAAGCGTGTAAACAGAGTTGTGTTTTTCTCGACTTAAGGATGAGCATGATATATGAGACGCTCGAATCGCGTCTTTGAAGGAGCAAATAAAAAAATTAGTCAGAGATTAAGACCAAGTGTGGTTTGCTCTCCGGCGAAAATGTCAAGTTGATGTCAGAAACCACTCGGTTGGAATCTGAGGTTACAAAGTTATTTGCCCAGGTTGGTGAGTACCACAATGCCTTTGAATCTCTTCGGAAGACGTATATCCGAGAGAGAGGTTAATTCAGCCGGAGTCTTAAGTCACTCAGTAGGAGAACGAGGAACTTAAGGCCAAAATTGCTGACCTATTGGCTCAGGGTGAGAAAGGAAAAGACGCTCCTGCTGAAGGCAATCAATCTCTCAACTACTTGGATTATCAAACTATGCCGAAGTTCAAGGGAGATATGGATGCGTGCACTGCCATCAATATTTGCTAGTTTCTCAGCCGCATGGAGAATGGTAATATGAGCTTGAAGGACTTTCACCAGATCCTTCAGGTGAAGGCGCGTCATAACCAGCTTGAAGACGATCTCAACTAGCAAAGACGTTTGGTTTGGTGGCGTTTCTAGTCTCTCCAAGTAACATTTCTTACTTGATTTTTGTGGTGTTCAGTTTACAAAGACGTTTCGGCCTAGAACGACATTCTTAGCCTAACCAAGTAATATTCCTACTTGTTTTTTTAGTTTATAACGCCATTTCGGCTTGGAACGTCATTTTTAGTCTAACCGAGTAATATACGTGTATTGTACTAGTTGAAGATTGATTCGATATATTATATATAAAAAATTAATAACAAATAAAACATTTAATATTTTTTAAAAATATATTTATGGTTTAAGATGATCAAGTATTTTATACTTTTAAAATAATAAAAATATATAAAGTCCAAATCTATATTGAATTTAACATATAAAATTATGAAGTGTAATTATTTCGACACTATCTTAGGAGAGATTTTAGAGTAGGAAATCACGGATATGGTTGGGAAACTCACTAGTCCCATTTTGCATGGAACACGTCTCACCCGAAAATCTATAAAACAACTCGTTTTATTAAATATTGTTACNAAAAAAAAAAAAAAAATATAAAAAAACAAAAGAATTATCCAAATGCCATAATAAATCATTAAAATCCTCATCTCGAATTTTGAAAGCATAAAAATCTTTTCAACTTTTTTGATAATAATCCGCACAAGCAGCGTCACAGGTTCACAAAACGTCGACACACAAATAAATAAAAAGAAACATCACAATTCACAACACTTCCATACACATCACAAACCGAAAGAGATAAGGACATGCGCCGGTCATTCGGTGGTGGCGGCAGCATGGGCGGAGGAAGCGGCGGAGGCGGTGGCGCCATGTTCAGAACCGCCCGGAGGATCATCAGGGCAGGCAGCGGCGGCGGCGGCGGTCCGCCGGAACCCACCTCTTCGTCCGGCAGCTCCACCACCACCCACGCCGCCGCGGATTCGAGAAGCGGCGAGCAATTAAGTAAAAATCAATCCGAACCTCCACTCGCATCCCTAACCCTTTCATCGGATGGACCTAAAAATGGGTCGCCAGCTTTTTCGACGCTGATTAATCTTCTGAAGCCCGGCGCACCTGTACCCGACGAATGGGGATCTTGCGGCGATGATGACGTGGAGTGGGTGTGTCTGGATGCGTGCAATGAACATGAAAGCGTGGTTTCCCTTGATGACGATTTAGTCTTTGGTACTGTTCCATCCAGAGATGAAGTGAATTATGCAATTTCTGCTCTTCAACAGTGAGTCTTTTTTATTTTTAGTTTTTCTTTGTATATTTTATTATGTGATTTAGTATACTGTTATCCATTTCATTTGATTGTATCTTTTTTTTTTTTATTAGGTTGTTGTCTTTAATTGAAAGAAATTATATGCAGACTAGTCAACAGATATGAATAAGTGATGCTAATTTCATTAATTTGAATTTAAGCAGAGAGAAAAAGAATCATAGGAACACAGGATATGTTTAGTAAATCCATCTGATAGCGGAATTTCAAGCTTAGGCCGATCACTGAAAAGCTAGTTGGTTCAATAAAAGTATTTGACTAGATTAGCCGATAAAATAGACTGTTTTTAAAAGCTATATAGAAAAGCTCAGCTTGTTCTATTAAACTGAACTTATTTGAATATATGTAACTTATAAGCTAACTAAATAACCTATCAGTTGGCTTAAGTTGCTTACCAATTATCTTCTGAAATCATAACTGTTAGTCCCTTCATATTTTGTTAGTATTCTACAGCTTACATCTCTAATAGGAAGTAGTTTGATAAGGAAAACACAAACTCCAAGTAAATGCATATGTAATACTCTTAACAAGTTATATCTATTATTTTGTGAGATGGCTCTGATTTGGATCTTTTTTTTTTTTCGGTCAATTTTGTTTTTGAAGGGCCTGTCGACCTGTGTCCCCTGCACATATTGCAACCGAGAAATTTAGCATAGCTGTGAATGAAGATAACAGTAGTGAAGGGTCTGAGAAGATAATTTCCTCATCCTCATCTGAGGTCGATTGGATCGAACCTTCACTAGCTCTCGGCAGTTCAAGAATGTTGAGGCCTTATGGACTCGACAGAGTTTATGATGCTTTCCATTTGTTGCAAAGTGAACCTTCTGTGCAGGTGAACAAATTTCTCTTGTTTGCTGGAAACTTTTAGTTGCCATATAATATTTTTTATTTTTTCGAAGTTCTAAT